TTATTTAACTTCATTGCATTTCACCTCTTAATATCAAATCATTAATATCAATGTGTATAAAAGATTAGGTGAATTAAAATAAGACTTGACCTTAAAGGTCTTAGTTACCAGGTCATAAAATTCCCAAAAAAAAAACTTGTTATTCAATATAAAAAAAAAAAAAAAAAATACTCCTGACTTATAAACTCACATTTACACAATCTAGGTGAATGTCATTTGACATTTCCGATAATAAGCTAACGTCATTCGTCATTAAATGATAAATGCCGAAAAAAATACCACATAGGTATAGATGCGATAAAAGCGAAGTTATCGTGTCACTGACCAGCCAATTCGGCGAACGTTGGGTAAGGTCAGGGTTTGTGCGGCGTCTCTTTCGCGCTCGCCTCATCATACATTCGTTTGCCTGCTCTAATTTTGTTTGAACAGATGCTTTCGTTAAGATATTATGTTGTGTTGAGCTTGTTGTTTTCAAGAGTGGTGAGTGCGTCACGCGCGACTCTCGTGCAGTTGAGGACCTAATTCGAGGACCTAATTCAAACGATCTACCAGACTCTTAGACCTTATCACTTTATTCTGGACGAAATTAACAGTAAGAGTCTAGAAATACAATTACGTTTTTTTTTCTTTCTTATGTCGGAAATCAGAGTCGTCGTGGCCTAAAGGATAAGACGTCCGGTGCATTCGTGTTGAAGCGATGCGCCGGTGTTCGAATCCCGCAGGCGGGTACCAATTTTTCTAATGAAATACGTACTTAACAAATTCACGATTGACTTCCGCGGTGAAGGAATAACATCGTGTAATAAAAATCAAACCCGCAAAATTATAATTTGCGTAATTAATGGTGGTAGGACCTCTTGTGAGTCCGCACGGGTAGGTACCACCGCCCTGCCTATTTCTGCCGTGAAGCAGTAATGCGCTTCGGTTTGAAGGGCGGTGCAGCCGTTGTAACTATACTGAGACCTTAGAACTCATATCTCAAGGTGGGTGACGAATTTACGTTGTAGCTGTCTATGGGCTCCAGTAACCACTTAACACCAGGTGCGCTGTGAGCTCGTCCACCCATCTAAGCAATAAAAAAAAAGATTCCCGATGCCCATGGTCTCCGGTGACTATTTTATGTCAGGATCTCAGCTGGTCGATGCGATCATCACTATATATATCTGCTGTTATATACATACGATAGTTCCTTGATTCGTGATTTGACGTATTCATTATCACAAAGTCCAGTAGGTAGTCGGCGACCTTGACAACCAAATATAGATAACGAACAATTGTAGTTATTATTCAGAGAGACATTTTCTTTACACATTTAGTTATTATTCGGAGAACCATCATTTTTACATTAATTTTTTTTTTGCTTATTTGGGTGGGCGAACTCACAGCCCACCTGGCATTAAGCGGTTACTGGAGCCCATAGACATCTACAACGTAAATGCCACCACCCACCTTGAGATATAAGTTCTAAGGTCTCAGTATAGTTACAACGGCTGCCCCACCCTTCAACACATTCTGCTTCACGGCAGAAATAGGCAGGGTGGTGGTGCCTAGCCGCGCGGACTCACAAGAGGTCCTACCACCGAATGAATTATTATTCCGTGTCTTCACTAAAGGAGGAGGAATCGTAGCTGAGGAGTTGAAGAGTCATAGGTTCCCGAGCACTGGCTCAGGTGGAATAACGTGCTAATGACCCAATGCTGTCACTCTCGATGACTTTGAAGTGTTATATGCTGTATCACAGCTGCTTCACTCTTCAACAACTCGACGGTGGCAGAATGAGGCAGGACCGCGGTGCCTATTCGTGCGGGCTTACAATACGCACCACGCATCAGATCGGCTGTTTCTATATGCACCGGAGAGTGACGTAAGCAACTCTCTGTCCAGGGAATCGCGATTCCGATCCGGTAGTAGATTCATTCGCGAAGCAGCTGCTCTTGAGTTGTTAGGGCTCTTTTGGAGGCGCTCGGGCAGCTGTTAGCAAATCCCACCCCTCCTGGCTGAGCCCTTGCTCGCCCACCTGTCCTGGTGAAATTAGAAAGGCAAGCCACAACTAATCCATTGATTAAAAAAAAAACCGGATAATTTCAACTGATCTGTCTATGTACCTTCTAATACGGCCGTCTGGTGTAGTGGTAAGTGACATGGTCACTACACAAGGGGGTCGCGGGTTCGAATCCCGCCAAGGGAAGATATTTGTATGATAAATATAAATGTATTTTCCAGGGTTATGGATGTATATTAAATATATGTATGTGTATAATAAAAATCTTACATTTATTTCCGTTATCTGGTACCTGTAACACAAGTTCTTTACGAACTTATCACGGGGCCGGTTAACGTGGCGTGATTGTTAGTAAATATTTATTATTATTATTATTATTTATTACCTTCTGTGGTCTACGGTGCTCATATTTATTCCTCATGTCACTTTTTGAAAATATATCGTGGAAGTGGTATTGTAGAAGTATTTTGTATATTTACTCAATATCCCTCCCTATGCATTTAATTAGGACACACCATAAATAACCCATAGCTTAAATAACGTTATGTCGACGTATTACATGTTCGGCTAAGGACGTTTTTAAAATTATATCAGAATGATGGTAGAGAGAGAGAGAGAGAGAGAGAGAGAGAGTATTCTTTATTGTACACCAAAAAATAAATAAACAGTGCGATACATTAAATACAAAGAAGTACAATTGGCGGTCTTATCGCTAAGAGCGGTTATTGTATTATGGTAGATTGTAAGTTAAAAATGTTATTAACTCTGTATTTTGTGCTAGCCTTGTCTAGCCGATTCATAAGACAACGTCATCGCCGTTCGTCATTTGAATATTATATCCGAATCGTTCCATATTCGAAAATGTCAATAAATTGAAAGTAAAAGCCACACGCACACTCACAAAATTTGTATACAACACTGACCTTTCTCAACATAAGGACTACATACGGCCGAATACAGGGGGTCGATGACCGGCGACACCGCCCGAGGCCGAATGTGCACGATGCATTTGGCAGGACTCGTTTAAAAAAAAAAAAATAACATAACCAAAATCACTTTCGCTTCGAATTGAAAACGAGAGCAGAATTCGCAAATTGAATTTTCGTTCCGAATTTCGAATTCAATTTTCGAACGGCCAGCTATTTTTAGGACGCATTTAATCATAAAGATAAAACATTATGTGACATTAAAATTAAAAAAAAATTAAATGCGTCAATGTTGCCATTTTATTTTATAACAACATTTTCGTACAAGCTTATTTTTAATGCACTTTGTGGCCGGTTATCCGGTAAAGCGGCTAAATTTTGCTGGATAATAGATTGTTTGATGAGTATTTCACAGTCGCATGCTCCCTGTTCACGGATAGCTTGTGCCCTTTGTGGAGCTGGTGGGTCGAGACTGTTCGGATGCCCAATAAGCAAGGGAGCACACGATCCGCCATGTAAATGTAAGTTTCTAGTTAAATTATTTTGCATTTCATAACAACATAGTTGTTTTCGTTATTCGGAATTGGTGAGTCACGCTAGGTGCGTCTGTAAAGATATACGACAAAGGGAAGATCTTCCACCGAGCTGGTCATATTTGCCCGGTAGACCGACGGTCCGAAGGTTGTTGGTCGTATATATGCAGGCTTATCTTGAAAATGTCGTAAGCGAGATTCAGGCATCTGTCGAATATCTTGCGTTGTACGATGGCTACCGCCACATGTCGATGCAGATTTTGTCAAATATTTTATTCATACAAATGTGTATACAGCTTTTAATTTAATTTTTTTAATTCTGATCCCTTTGCGTCACGTAACCTTGCAGAGTGACGTCAGTGCTTCGTTTTCGTGAGTTCTTTTCCTTAAGAACCGTTGCTTAATGCGAATGAAACTTTAAAACCTCAAAATTTTGAAACAATCGATTCCGAAACCCGTTCGCGTTATATATAAAACGGTTCCGCTCGGGACTTTAACAAAAATTTCAACGATATTTGAAGTTGTTTTAATTTTTGTAATAAAAGAACACTTATTCCGGCATAACTATAATATTTAAACATATGCTGTCGCGACACTTTTTGTAAATGATAATGTGTTCTACAAAGTCGTAATACATTATTTTATTCTATCATCAATAGTTTTCGCAGGGCACGCGATGTAAAGAATATTTTAGGTAATTTTTTTACACCTTGGGTAATAATAATGTATATTGGAGTTTTAGTAAGGATCCCTAATTCTTTTCAAAAAAGAATTATAGCCTATGTTACTCGGGAAAAGTGTAGCTGCCAAACAGTGAAAGAATTTTTTAAATCGGTTCAGTAGTTTCGGAGCTTATTCAATACAAAAAAACAAACAAATATTTCCTATTTATAATATGTCTCTATATAGATTAAATTATCAAAAAAAAATACCGGGATTTGTTTTAAATTGAATGGCTACTTGCGGTTGAACGCGTTTTCCTGTTTCGAAATTGATGAGCGCGTATCTAATTAAGTAGATTATATTTTTTTGGCGCGCTCATTAGGTTTTCCTTGAATCCGTAGGTAAGCAGTTTTAGAATACTAGGTCGGTGAGTTCCTCGAATTCGTGCACACAAAATTAATAGAAACTTTTTTGCGGAAATGTGCATTTTGTGTTTAGAATGTCGCGATGTATGACCTACATACATAACGCTAAAATTAATTTCGTTAATACGCGTACGATATAAAAAAAAAAAACAAAAAAAACATGGCGTCATGGCACATTTACATTGTTCCCTGATTCGGGGGTTTATTCTCGTGTCGGCGACTCATCCTACGCCGGCCTTCACCGGGTCCGGTACGAACGCGTACCTCCGCAGCTGACCGATACGAAATTACATAGTTAACGCATTACGAACGACGAGCATCGCGTTCGGTTTATTGACGCCGCACATCCGTCTGAACTTGCGAGTTAAAGTAAGCCCCCGCGAATGTCACCTAGCGAGCGCCCTCAGTACAACTGCAGGCCCGTGCATGTCCGCACGATCTATGCAGCGGCGCGCTAATAACGCCCGACTATAATTAATAAGCCATAAGATGACAGTTCGAATTCGAATTCCGAATGTTCGAATTTAGGAGCGGAACGGTCGGGAGCGCGCGCGCGACAGAGACCGGTATATATCTTCGCGCGTCTGCTATTTCGGTGACGTCGGCCGGTGCATAGAGAAATAATAATGAAAAGTGGCATTCACTATTCAGTAATTTCGTTGTGTTTACGCGTCGTGCTGGCTTGTTTTGTGGACGGCGGTTTCTTTTTTTTTTTTGTTCGTTTTTTTTTTTTTGTTTTTCGAATCGGCGTGACATCTCAGCGGAACTAGTGGCGCCCTCTGGACGGATCGTGTGCTCAACGCGACTGTGTGTAGTAGTACGCACGGTCGTAAATATTGTAATTCACGGACCTGTCACAACAATGGCAGGAACCTCGTGGACGTATTAACGTACAATGTATTTATGATGTGTGATGTGACGCGTTTTTGGCGCGGCGGAACCGCGGCCGGCTCGTAGCGCAGAAAATTGAGCTAGCGGTGGTGATACTTTTTTTTTTTTTTTGTAATTCCAAACTTTACCTACGGCGATCTTCAGTTGCGCGCGAGCTGTCCCCGCACGCGCCTCGCGTCCCCCTAACGAAACGAAAACCGCCGAAAAACCACCGAATGTGTCCCGGTTCGGCCTCGAGTCCCGCCGAAACGCGACCAGCCGAACTCTGTGCGAACCACTTCGAAGCGTTCCATTTTCGAATCCGTTCATACAACGCAGCGCGCGTTCGATGACCTCATAAAGTGAAACTAATTAATTTTCGCTCCTCTTTCACTTTGCTCAATATTGTGATTTAGACTTTAGTGCCTTGCCCGTACAAAAAAAAAGAACTCGAAGAATATTGTGATGATACAGTGCAAACTAAGTTAATTAAAATAGTTAGTTTAATCAGAGTGTATTTTGCGAACTATATGTTCTTATTAAGAAACGTTTGAATCCGGAATGGAGCACGTCGTGAATGGACAAATACTGCGCTTTGTCTAGGTGAGTGCTATACGATAAGACGTGCCATTGTTTGTCAAAGTCGCGCGATGTTTCTTAACGCCTATCGATCGGATGACGGCTCTGCGTAAGCGCCTATCTTAATCTATGAACTTGATTGGAGCGAAACGAAATCAGCCGCGAGCCGGTCGCATTCCTAGTGCGCGACTCGAAATCGCGTATGGGAACTTCGCTTCTGTGATTAAGGGCAAGCGATTATGACCCTTCTCGGTTATCGGGCCGGGAGGGTTTTTCGTTGTTTTTCGCGTGCACTGGTTTCGGGTTGACGAACTGTTCTGTTGTTTTTCGTTCGCGCTCGCTTTGAACATACGCGATGCTGCGGATGCATTGGCCTTCGAGCCAACACAGTTAGCTGCATACAGTATGGAGTCCGATAGGAACTGAAACTGAATTCAATACAATCTCAACGATGCAATGTTGACTGGGACATTTTTTTTATTGCTTAGATGTGTGGACGAGCTCACAGTTCACTTGGTGTTAAGTGGTTATTGAAGCCCATAGACATCTATAACGTAAATGCGCCATCCATCTTGAGATATAAGCTCTAAGCTCTCAGTATAGTTACAACGGCTGCTCCGCCTTTCAAACCGAAACTCATAACTGCTTCACGGCAGAAATAGGCAAGATGGTAGTACCTACCCGTGCGGACTCACAAGAGGTCCTATCAGCAGTGATTACGCAAATTATAATTTTGCGGGTTTGATTTTTATTACACGATGTTATTCCTTCACCGTCGAAGTCAATCGTGAATATTTGTTATGTACATATTGTTATGTAGGTACTATGTTTTTAGGATGTAAATTTTCGGAACAAAAGTATTTTGGGCGATTCAATCGTTTTGAATTAGGGAAATCCCTATGAGTGTCTGTGCGGTCAACGCGTTACAATTAAATTAAATATATTGCCGAAAAACAAGGAAACTTTAGTTAGGTATATTAGACGCGTAGGAACAGCAACTAAATTAATTGAAAAGACGAGTGGATGAAGAAGGGGTTAAGTACAATTTTTAAGATTTTTGAGTTTTTACATTGAATGATGGTTTTATATGCCTATAGACCATCTCGTATGTCGTAACACTCTTATCAGAGCGGTCGTGGTCGTCGTCCAGCATCATTGCTGTGGGCAGATGTTATGCGCCTCACGAGGAACCGCGACTCCGCACCAATAACTCCATTCTTCAAGAACTCGGCATTAAGCAGCGTCTTTCGGCGCTTGTGCATGGACGCATACTATCATTTTTTGGACATGTCTCCCGGCGAGGAAATGACTCCATAGAGCGCCTTGTCGTTCAGGGCAAAGTAGAAGGCACCAGACCGCGTGGAAGGGTGCCCATGCGATGGACCGACCAGATCCCTTTTTTTTTTATTGCTTAGATGGTTGGACGAGCTCACAGCCCACCTGGTGTTAAGTGGTCATTGGAACCCATAGACATCTACAACGTAAATGCGCCACCCACCTTGAGATATACGTTCTAAGGGTCTCAGTATAGTTACAACGGCTGCCCCACCCTTCAAACCGAAACGCATTATTGCTTCACGGCTGAAATAGGCAGGGTGGTGGTACCCGCGCGGACTCACAAGAGGTCCTACCACCAGTAATATCGGCAGTTGGCGGCTGTTTACATGAGTGTACCAGGCTCTAGACCATATTAGACCTTAAGACTCCGGAATCATTGGCTATTTTTAGAAATCTTATATGATGAAGGAGTTATATGCGAAGAAAAAATATTATCACGTTCAGTGAAAGTGACAATTTTTTTTTTTTTTTAAATTGAAGTACTATGATTTCACATTTAAAATAATAAAAATAACAGCTACAAACGCTAATATCTCAAAAATAAGTAACAAAAGTTTGTTGCCAGTTTTCAGTATGATACAAATTGTATCATATCCCTTTCAATTGCCTATTGTGCAAATGTATGTGCTTTTTGACTGTTTTTTTGAATGTAAATTGTGTTGGTGTGCAATAAAGTGTATTCTCTTATTCTCTCTCTCTCTCTCTCTCTCGCTCCCCTTTCATCAACTCATGTCCTCACTACATAGTATAAAACAAAGTCGCTTTCTCTGTCCCTATATCCTTATGTATGCTTAAATCTTTAAAACTACGCAACGGATTTTGATGCGGTTTTTTTTAATAGATAGAGTGATTAAAGAGAAAGGTTTATATGTATAATAACATCCATTAAATAGTGGAGAAATCAATAATAAATTACAGTTTCCGAAGCGAAGCGAGGGCGGGTCGCTAGTAAATTATAAAATGACTTTTTTTAGCTACTCATGTCTTTAAAGTCGCTTCGTGTGCCGATTTCAAAATTTCAATGGCAATACGTACTGAACTAATGTCCAGTATTGACTTGAACGTTGCAAGATGAGCATCTAGCACTACCAATACGCCCTTTTCACAGCCCAAAGCGGCAATTCGCGATGGATCTCTTGTGGACAATCGTCAATCCAATTGAAATTTCGACCTTATCTCTTTACGTTAGTGGCGCATTCAGGATGCTTTAAGCCTGTGGTAACCACTCAACATCAACGTCTATTTCGTCCAATAAGATGTAGAAAACGGAAACACTAAGAACTGTTCTAGTACTCTAGAATTACGAGTACCGTATCTATAGTTTAACTTTCAAATAACAGACTTAATTTTTATTTCTTATTTTTTATTCTAATTATATAGGTAGTTTTGTTTTACAGAAAGCTATTGTTTTACTGTTTTTTGTTTTTTTTTTATTTATTTTTTATTGCTTCGACGGGTGGACGAGCTCACAGCCCACCTGGTGTTAAGTAGTTACTGGAGCCCATAGACATTCACAACGTAAATGCGCCACCCATCATGAGATATAAGTTCTAAGGTCTCAAGTAGGTATAGTTACAACAGCTACTCCACCCTTCAAACCGAAACGCATTACTGCTTCACGGTAGAAATAGGAAGGGTGGTGGTACCCACCCGCGCGGAATCACAAGAGGTCCTACTACCAGTAAGATTGTTCATTAAATGTCCATTCGTTGAATTTGGCTAATAGCTTTAGTTGTTGATCATCACTTATGTGAGCTCGTAATGTGATGATTGTTAGAAAAAATGCATTCATATTTTTTATAATGATTTTTTTGGATTATATAGGTCAGATAGCTCGTTATTGATAGGGAAGGATTGTCATCTGTGATGTAGGCGTCGGAACATGTCGGATCAGGATTTTGTCGAAATCTACTTAGATACTACTACTAGATACTATACTACTTACTAGATACTGTTTTTCTTTAGTCCTACCTATTCTGACAGCCTTGAGAAGCTATATCAGCGTTACCCTAGCGTGTAGGTGAGCTCTCGGGGCTCAAACCGAAGGTGTTGTGAATGCTGACCCTAGCAAGAGCTGTGCTTCGCAGAGTCTACCACCGGATCGGAAACGCGACCTACTGAGAAGATCCGGCGAGAAACTTAGTGGGCTGTGTCTGAGGGTTCATTTACTCGCCGAGCCCTTCGTCGCAAGCGACGGGTTCGGCGAGGACGGTGACCGGCTTAATCTGACAGACTGTGAGATAACCTCTCCACGATCTTTCTGGTCTTATTTCGGGCGTTGCCATTCGAACTCAATATCTTATGTCGTCAAATATGGTCACGAGCTCAACTGCTTATTAGTTTTCGTTGTCTTTTTTTCTTTTGTCCTATAGTTGTAAGGAACATTGTGTAAAAACAGCACATTTGTCTTGTTTAGACGTGCGCACATGGCTTATGTTACAAGCCAGATTTTTAATTGTTATTAATTAATTATTGTGTATCTTTTTAGTGTATGTATTGTGTGCTTAATAAATTCATCGTGTTATATACATCAAACCCGCAAAATTATAATTTGCGTAATTACTGAAAGTGGCACCTGTGACAGAGAAGCTGAGGAGTGCACGTTTGGGATGGTATGGACATGTGATGAGACGAAATGAAAATGAGGTTGTTAAGAGAGTGTTGACTATGAATGTGGAAGGATTTAGAGGAAGAGGTAGACCTATGAAGAAATGGATGGATTGTGTGAAAGACGATATGGGTAGGAGGGGAGTGAGCGAAGAAATGGTATATGATAGAAGAGTATGGAAGGAGAAAACATGTTGCGCCGACCCCAGGTGACTGGGAGAAGGGCAGGATAATGATGACTGGTGGTAGGGCCTCTTGTGAGTCCGCGCGGGTAGGTAGGTACCACCGCCCTGCCTATTTCTGCCGTGAAGCAGTAATGAGTTTCGGTTTGAAGGGTGGGGCAGCCGTTGTAACTATACTTGAGACCCTAGAACTTATATCTCAAGGTGGGTGGCGCATTTACGTCGTAGATGTCTATGGGCTCCAGTAACCACTTAACACCAGGTGGGCTGTTAGCTCGTCGACCAAAAATCGAACCCATTGGCAATACGGCTAAACACATTTTCCTACCAGCGCCGTGCAAGTAGCGCTTACAAAACAGGAAACATTCAAATTTATTTTGCGCCCAGAATTGTTTGATTCATAATAACAATGATAAGCGTGACGTACTAATTGTCAAATTTGAATCATTACGAGGAAATTTGGATGGGACGCCAAAATACATTGTGTTTTGAAATATAAAAAAAATTAGATAATACATATTAATAAACCGAAACGGAATCCTTTATTTTATCCTGGTATCAAAGCGAAGTTATAAAATTGTTGTTTTGCCATCGGTCCTTGATGCGTGTGCGAATTTACAAGTCAATTGGACGTCTTGAAGTCAATGAAAATGGCGTTCAAAGATTCCGTTACATAGATATACCTATACGCTGGAGACGGTCATTAGTTTGGTAGCTAAACGAAACGCAGCACAATTCCCGAGAGATGGCAGCATGATTGCAGTATCGTCGGAACTCTGCTAACTTCGTGCTACGACAGAGCCTAGCCGATGGAGGCGCGTAGACGCCATCACACTTACCGACCAGCCCTCTTGAAGAGCGGTGCCTCCGTCCTAAGAGCTGTCATTCGTTTTCGTT